AAAAATAAAGTCGGCGATAGAATCTTGTATGTTGTATCTAAGAATGTAAGATACATCCATGGGTTTTGCCATCTAAAAATAACCAAAAAAAATAAACCACTTCCACTTCAATTAGGCTTGTGAATTCTAGGCACGATACACTATTGCAACACGAAATTTATATGGAATTAATGGGTATACATTTAGTCTTAGCGGGTTTGAATGATGAACACGTGTATTTGTCAAACTTGCTTAATAAATGAGTCATCATAAATTCAAACATATGCTTGACATGAAAACAACACTACATTACAAAAACCGAACTATGTACTACAATAAATGGATTGATTATGACTTCAACAAGATTTGACACAACAAAACTTAGACACAACACAAATCAGGCCATTATCGACTTTAACTTGAATTCAAGGCAAGCAGTAAACAAGTGTATGTTATAAGAACTTAAAGGTACACCAATGACTGCATTTGGTTCCTTACCAGTAAGTCCCAACAAAGGCCATAGACTTCCATTTGACTGTTTGACGAGTTCCAAGAACTGAGTTGCATCAAACAGAGGTAGCTCATGCCTCGCAGTCATCTGGTTTCCACCTCCAATTAATGAATTCGACGTCTAGCCTCCCAAATTTCATTAAGTTTTGTCGATCAACGATCACGCATTTTGTTGCATTTGTGTAATGAGGTCCCACTGGATATGGAACCTAACTTCCACCATAAATATCACGTTTATGCTCTTTTTTTAAGCTAGTTGAATCTTCTGGATTATTGCCTGGAGGGATGAATCATTAATAACAATTCTCAGAGGCTGTAATGAGGAATATGAATTGATGTAAACATAGATCGCGGTAGTGATGAGAACAAAGGTTAGTACCTCTCTTTCTTTCTCCTCATCTAGCCTTTTGGCCCACCTTTTATCTTTTAAATAGGAAAAATTTTATATTTTTATCCCAAAAGATGATTGTAGTTCTCACCTATACACATTTGAATGTCTGAAATCGCGCAAGAAAATTGGAGATGATATTGAACTTTATTGAGACTACTATTTGATAAACTAATATCCATAAAGCTTTGGTTCTAAATCATTTGGTATATTTGTTATGCCTAGTTCGTTTTATTAGTCCAAATACAAGTACTTGAAGGTCTTTTGTTTCCATGTTACTCTTTAATCATGTGTCGTGATGAATATTCATTAGGTTACTCAAGCATAAGGAACCAAAGAAAAGAATTTATAGCAGTTAAATGGATGGTAGGGTTAGCATCAACAAGTAAAGCAAATAATTGTTGCTATTATAATTGTGGGACTTCTCTTTCTTCTTCATGATTTGATTGATTTAAAAATGAAAAAAACGATTCTGCCATACATTTTTCATCAATTCTCTTGTCCAATAACTTTCTTCTTCCAAATCCTTCACCATTTTTGTCAAAATCCTCATTGTTTCATTTTCACCCAAACCTCAGTTAGGTCTAATTGGTGCAATGACTATGTAACTTGCCATCAACTGTCCGAGTGAGGATATTTTATTTGCCCCCTATATGGACCATAATTATTATCCTTAACATTTTGTAGCGTAGAGAAAAAAGCTCTGCCCTTTATTTCACATGAACATACTCATAAAGTCCAAGTTTGTTCATAATAAGAGCCTAGGGGTTATTTTAATCAATTTGCAATGATTAAATGAAAAATAAAAGTGGGCTAAATTAGACAACTAGCAACAACTCTTTAGAGTATCTCCAATCTTGATTCAAATTTAAGTCAAGTTTAACTAAAAAACTTAATTGGGTACAAAGGGTTTTAATGGACAAACTCATATTTAAAGGTGGGCAAAAATTTAAATTTAATGGAGGTTGAAATATGATTATTAGATCTTTGAAGGAGAATGAAAACTGATTTGAGTAAAAATTTGAGTTTATCTTCATTTGATATAAGTTTAAGTAAAGACTTGGAGCATGTTTTTACTTAAATTTAAATTTGAGTCAAGATTTGAGAGTAAGGGTTGGAGATGCTCATACATTTGTCAGAAACCACATGAGGGAAGTTGCTAATTGTCAAATTCTAGGAGATATGTTTTTTGTAAATTACCCTAATTTTTTTGTGAAAAATAGTAATTTGAAAAAATTAGCTGAAAGAAAGATGGAACATCAGTTAGATTGGAAGGTTGGCAACCTTTTGGAATATTTACCATAATAATTATTTTCAGCAATGCATCTGAAAAAAGTCTAATTGCAAATCCACCAGCTGAAATGGACAAGACAATATCATCTACTAATGCATAATACTTTCCATTACTTTGCAATGCATTATTTGAAATAGTTTAGCAACACACTACCAAACACAAACATAACATTAATGCCACAGAAGAGTTTCCCATCAGAATGATATTGGATTTCAGGCATTCTGGCAAGCAAAACTACCAAAGCAGAAAACTTCAAATATGTGAGACAAGATAAGGTGAACTGTGACAAGAACCAAGAAATTAAAAGCAACATGCAAAATCCTAATCGGCATTGATGGCAATTCTGTGCATGACCTTAGCAACAACTTCCTTAGAGGCCGTCAGCAGCTTGAGACTTTGGTTCAATCTCTCACGCTTTATGACAACTGACGGCGCTTCTTCTAGCAACTGTTCGAGTCCACCACCATGAGGGGCCATGAGTTCATTCACTATCTCCATCTCCATGTTCATGTTCATGTTCACCAGACTCTTAACACTAAATTGCAGGTGCAGAGCCATGCAATCAACAAGTCTTTTCAGAACAATCTTCTGGTATGCGGTAATTCTCATTTTTTTGTCAAATGCTTGGTCTCTAATAATAGGGAGGAGCCGCAAATGGCCAACTTCAACTTCCCCAAAACCATCAAAAGTGATCTGTGTGGACTTCTCCATCTCAATTATCTCCACCACTCGATCAACTGACATTTTCTTCCTCTTAGCAATAAGGTTCTGGGCTGCCCTTCTTGTAGATGACTCTAGTTGTGGATAATGTTCTGCATGACGCATCAAAACAGGAACCACCACCACTGTCTCAGTGTAGTCCCATACGACAGAGAGAAACTGAACTGGAGCTCCTGATATCTCATTTACTTTTTTCTGCAGGAGCATGAGAAAAGCCGAGTGAGGAAAGAAATTTGGTAGCCCCATGCCTCTGGTTTCCTCAAGAACCTTTATCTCCTCCATTAGAAAATTGTCCGTGTAGTTATTTTCTGAACTCTTTTGCAGTTCCTGAGTACACTGGTTGAGCATTTTTGCAAGTCGAGCAGTGCAATGCATGTGTTTGTCATCTGGGTATTCCTCGAACTCGTCTCTCAAGAGGACTTTCCTAAGACAAGGGGGGAGAATGTGCTAGGACAAGGCCTTTTGGTGTTAATGAGGTTGTTTTGGATGGTTATAATTTGGAGATGTATATGATTCAATTGCAGGAGCTGAGGATTGCAAAAAGAGTAGGCAGGAAGAGAGGGCTGAAATTTAGGTTGCTTGATACAACACAACCTATTTTGTTGAGACCAGATGGTCATCCTGATAAATATGGGCATTGGCCAATTGAGAATAAGACTCTGGTTAATGACTGTGTGCACTGGTGCTTGCCTGGACCTGTTGACACTTGGAATGATTTTTTACTAGAGATGTTGAAATGGGAAGATAGGAGCTAGATTAAAACGAATGCTACCCAATGAACAAAACTTCAGTCTATGGCGGATTCGGGAGTTGAGCTAGATCGCCTGACCAATTTTTTTTTATTTGGGTGGCAAACAAAAAGATACCAGTTAGATTTTTGTTCATAAATTTTGATTTTCTTTTTAAAAAAAAACACGTAGAGGTTCATAGACATTGTCAATGGAATTGTTTGGGAGGTCTGAAAATTGAGTTTCTATTTGTTGTGTTTAAAGGGGAGAATTACAAAAGGAACATGTTATACCGGTATTGCAAATGTTGTCATCGATGTTGATTTCTTGAAAAGATTTTTTTCATTTTCATTTTAATCACTTTATTAAATAGCCCCCTCACATTTGATAAATTACACAAAATCCCTTCAAATTTATTCACATGTAACGCATAATACCCTTGTCATCATGCTCCGTTAAACAACTTTCTAAAACTCGATGACATCCCTATATCTTTTATACCAAATTACCCCCATCATTTTCATTTAAAAATCTTTTACCCCCTGAATAAATCAATTTGTTGCAATAATTTACCCTCTCCTCCACTTCCCCTTCCCAACACACCCACATACACCTCTAAACACCACCGACTGCTACACTCTCCCCAACACTAACAAACAATCCCAAAACCACCATCCACCTATGCAACAAACCCCAAAATGCTCAACTGCCAGGCATGTACCCAGCATCCCTCACCCAAAACAACCACCACACACCCACGTGACCCAGCGCCACCGCTAGCCACTCTCTCTCTCTCTCTCTCTCTCTCTCTCTCTCTCTCTCGCTGTGGGTAGGATATTCTATGAGGACCGGGCTTTTGGTGCAAATAAAAGTTCCAGAGACGCACCTGATTCTATTGTGGTTTTTGGTGGAAAACAATTGAACTCCCCAAAACCAACCTGATGCGAGGCTATACCAAGGTGAAACAATTGGGGGTGAAGCACAGAAGTGAGAGTAATTTGCAAAGCCAAGGAGTACTATCGCTGTCACCGGCTGGCCATCTCCACAGCCGAAGCCACAGATTGTCGGTTATGCCCTCTGCCACGAACGATTCACCGCTACTCCATTTACTGCCACTCTATACCATTCGGCTCCATCCCTAGAAACCAAACTCAGATGGCCCTCCCTCTCTCTCATGGAACGATGTTGCTTGTGCTGGTTTGGGTTTGTTAATCTGAGGTGATAACAGTGTTGCCAATTGGGGGTTTTGGTTTAACTGTAGGTGGGATTAAATTTTAATAATATTACTCGCTCTAACGTATGCTAAGACCTACAGCTAAATTAATAATATTAATTGATTAAATTAATATTTTAAGTGCAAATAGGTTTACTCATCATAAGCCATTCTCAACCAATGCATCTGAATTAAAGACTAATTACAAATCCACCAGCTGAAAATGACAAGACAATATCATCTACTCCCGCATAATACATTCCATTACATTGGAATTCATTATAGATTAGCAACACACTACCAAACACACAAACATAACATTAAGACCACCGAAGAGTTTCCCATCACAATAATATGGGATTTCAGGCATTCTAACAAAGCAAACCTACCAAAACAAAAAAACCGTCAAATATTTCAGACGACAACCGAGAAATTAAAAGCAAGATGCAGACAAAACCTAATCAGCATTGAAGGCAATTCTGTCCATGACCTTAGCAACAACTTCCTTAGAGTCCTTCAGCAGCTTGATACTTTTGTTCAATCTCTCACGCTTTGTGGCCACCGAATGCGATTCTTCTAGCAACCTTTCAAGTCCACCACCATGAGGATCCATGAGTTCAGTCAATATCTCTTTCTCCATGTCCATGTTCACCAGATTATTAACACTGAACTGTAGGTTCAGAGCCATGGAATCAACGAGTCTTTTAAGAACAATCTTCCAGTATGCTGTAATCCTCATTTTTATGTCAAATGCTTGGTCTCTAATACTAGGGAAGGACTTTAAATGCCCAACTTCAACTTCCCCAAAACCATCAATGGTGATCAGTGTGCACCTCGAATAATTATTCATAACATCGAGGAAGAGGTTTTTACTAGCCATGAGCTTACCCCATACTGTCAGATATTCAGGATCGCAAGTATAATCTATGATCTTCTCCATCTCAATTATCTCCGCCACTCGATCAGCAGACATATCCTTCCTCTTGGCAATAAGGTTCTGGGCTGCTCTTCTTGTAGATGACTCCAGCTGTGGATAATGTTCAGAGTGACGCTTTAAAACAGCAACCACCACTTTCTCAATGTACTCCCATACTTTAGAGACAAACTCAACCGGTGCTCCAGATATCTCCTTTACTTTGTTCTGCAGGATCATGAGAAAAGCCGCGCGAGGAAGGAAATTTGGTAGCCAAATGCCTCTGGTTTCCTCAAGAACTCGTATCTCCTCCATTAGAAAATTGTCCTTGTAGTTATCTTCTGAACTGTTTTCCAATTCCTGAGCGCACTGGTTGAGCATTTCTACAAGACGAGCAGTGCAATGCATGTGTTTGTCATCTGGGTATTCCTCGAACTCACCTCTCAAGAGAACTTTCCTAAGAGTCTCCACGGAGGAACCAATAATCTGCATCAAAGCAGACATTGCTTCTGGAACAGAAGTCAGATTCTGGGGCATTCTGGTGAGTTCTGACCTGTTTGCACTGAGCTTGTCATTGATCTTTCTAACAATCTCTGGCAAGCATTTTGCTATTATTGTAGCTTGAATTCGCACCAACTTTTGGGCCAGAACTGGAATACCCACAATAGATTTGTCAAACTTTGAGAGAAGCGGGTGGGTTTCGAATAAATTAGCTTCTTCCTTTCGAGCTTCATCATACGATTCATCGCCTATGCGATTCCTAACGCACACATAGCCAAGCCCGATATTCACATCATCTGCCTCTACTTTATTTAGCAGACCTTCGGGAGCTTTGTCGGCTTTGGTAACAACAGCCAGAGTTCTCAGGCCGGTCTTGTCCACACGCTGTGACATCCTAATGGATTCACAAGTCGGAAAATCAACAGTTGCAGACAAAACATTCAAGATAATGCTCTCCTCTGGTTTTATGTACTCTGTTATTATGGCTGATATCTGCTCATATATATCATCAGGCTGCCCATGAACAGGCACCCTAGTGATTCCAGGCAAATCAACCATTGTAAGATCAGGTACGCCATTTTTCTTCACAACTAACGTTAATGGGGTGTGTGATATACCTTTACCAGAGCCAGCAATCTCATCAGTTGCTTGATTTATGGCATCAGAAATATGGGTCTCATCAGTCTGGACAGTTCTGCCCAGAAACTCCAAGTGAAGCTCCGGGAGAGGATCTGAGTGATGCTGAAGCCTCATTATGAGTGGCACCCTAGTGCAAATGCCTTGGCCTCGTGGAAGGTTGATGCCAGCAAGTGATTCAAGAACACTGGACTTTCCGGACGATTGGTCACCAACCACCACAATTGTTGGAAGCTGTATACCTTCCTGCATGACCTTGAGGTGGCGGAGCTTGTCAATTGCATCAAGTAGTGGGCGTATTCGGTCATTGTAAGACGACACGATCGGTGCCTCAAATGGAATAGCCAGTTCTTCATCATCAATCATGGATATGGGTTGTATAAGTATAGGAACAAGAGCAGCAGAGGAGTTTGTGTCAGGGATGTTGGAGTTCTGCTTAGCCATTTTGTCTAAGGTAGTAACCAGTGAGGTTGTCTTTTTTACGAGAATTTGTGTGAAATGGTGGATTGTAGCTGTGGGTTTAAATAGGAGTAGAAACCACCAAGTAAGGTGGTCTTGAAAAATGTTCTAAGAATTGTCGTCAAAGTACCTTGTGAGTCCACCGATAATAGTTGCTCAGCGCTATTATTTACCTCCCTCTTCTTTTAATTATAAAAGAAAAAAAAACATAGGAGTAGGAAAGTTTCGAGGAAGGAGGTGTTGGGAAATGGGATTTCTTAGTGCTTAAGGAAAGAAATTTGGCGGTCCAAGATGACCTGACTTTACGTTCCGTAAATATAAATGCAGTATGACATGACATGCTTTGGGAGCACTAACCTAGAATTCTAGTCATTTGTCCTATGTGTTTTCAGACCACTGGTTTGAGAATCTCTCTGGTCATCTGTACTTTTTTATTATGACATCAAAAATGAAAACAAAGTTAAGCCACACGAAAAAATCTTACGGTAAAGATAGATTAATCAAATTTTAAAATTAAATTTAGAGGTCAAATAATATAATAGTTAATTATTTAAAATTTTTATTAGCACTTAAATGACATCACACTAATCAAAATTAAGTACCATACCATTTAAACTCCAAATTTAATTCTAAAATTTAAACTGTGTAACACTACTCAAAATCTTATGGCGTAGCTACTGCTCAAAATCTTATGGTGTGGCTATCTCGGCATTTATATATAATAGATACATATAGGCTAGGCACCCCCACTTGTACAAAACACATCCCCATTGCTGCCCCAACCTGTAACCACCGCTTTCAGACACCTAATCCACGTCAATTGGTCGCAGGGTTCATTATAAACATTTCTAGTAAGATCAAACTGAAATTAAAAAACTACACAGTTAGCATAAAAATAAAGATTGAAAAATAAAATCGTTGTGCATTGCGGAAATTAAACTAAAACACCACTTATTTTAAAACTTTGTACTAATTCAAGTTTAAAGCAAAAAAAGTGGCTTGTATGAAAAAAAATTTAACAACCAATCTAGTGTAATCATCTTCAAAGCATTAATACAATGTGCTTCGTCTCTAATTTACTTCGTTGGAAATCAATAAAACACAGGTCAAAATAAATAATAAAACAATAGCAAGGTTATTGCTAGATAACACTCAAGTAAACTAACAATAAGTACCCAAAACCATATTGGTGCCATCAAATAAAAGTTGGACATTGAATTAATTTATCAATCATACAAAAACAACACAGTAAGCAAGAGAAAGAAAAAAAGATGTATGTTAAAGAAGCAAAGAAAATTTCAAAATTCTTTGTAGCACCTAAAAAATTGTATAAAGTCTAAATCCAATACACGAACCTAAACAAACAACATAAAATAGAACTCGAATCCAAACTAATCATAAAATGAACCTAAACAAATAATAGAACAAAAAGCCATGCTAAACCAACCAACATAAAATTAAAACAGAGTTGTGTGATTGAATTTGAAAGCTCACATCAAATAAAATAAAAAAACCCATGCACCTATGTAACTTTTGGTCCATTCATTACCACCTCAAAATAGACCAAAAGTTAGTAGTGATAGAACCGCAAAACAACAATATTCCATGTGTAGTAGAAACCAATAAAAAGGATTCAAAGAACTAAAATTAAAGTACTCGTGATATGGATCATTTAACTTCTATATACACTAACATGAAAATATACCAGCATTTAATTCTAGAAATCATATCCCCCAAAGCCTCCATTTGAGTTGTTATAGCTTCTATATGGGACTCATTCAATAGTCCACCCAAACAGAAAAAAGCCATTAAAAAAATTAGTAATCTTCTATCTTGAAGGTAAAATATCAAAGAACCGTTGTTTTTTTGATCAAATCATGGAACCATGTTGAAAATAAATGAAAAGATGTTAATATAAAAAGATGGAAATTTTTTTTTGTACATATAAAGTATTGTATGTAAGTTACTAGAAGTGAAGATGCACTCACTATAACTTCCCCAAAAAAAATCCACCAAAATACAACAAAACTTTCATCAATCAGCTTCCGAATATATTAATTTTACTATCCTACACCTCAACGATCAAGCATATGCCTTTCATCCCAATTATTTTCATAAATACAACTTTCATTACAATTTTTGTCCTGAAATTATCACTGTTCTTCATGTCTAGCAAAGTAAACACAAAAAGAATAGCGTTGTATAATAAATTGAATGCACTATCAAAAGAAGAGAGCATTAACAAAGTACAAAAAAAAAAAAAAAAGAGCCAATGAATTAAACAAATTTCAAATTGTTTATAACTAAGGAGCAAAATTTAGAGTCAAATATTTCAAAAATTGAAGAACTCGTTCAACATCAAAATATATATATGCACATAAAATATTTTTTCCCCGACATCAAAACAGTTCAACATCAACTCACAATCTGAACAAAGAATTTCAAATTTAGACACTAACCAAAGACTCAAAGAGAATAAAATCAAATATTGACCATTTAAATTCAGAAGTAATCTCAAAAACACAAATAAGAGATGTTTAGAGAGAATTAAGGAAATGATGAACTTACACTACAAAAAATAGTAACATCATCCATTTTTTGATGGTTGTACGGTTACAACAATGGTGGTTACGCAGCCAATTTCATAAACTATATATAATTAACACCAATTGCAACAAAATAACCCTAACATTCAATTGTAAGACCCTAAAAAAACAATGTTATTTAAAAAAATGAAATCAAAACCTAAATGCAATCAAAATAAACCTAACATTGAATTTCAAAACCATAACATTCACTCAAATACCACCAATAACTATAACATTCAATCAAAATGTGACTTACAACTATAACATTTAATAAAAGTCCCATCTTATAATAACATCCAAAAAACCATTTCATACAAGTAACTGACAATAATCATCAATGCAACATCCCAACTCATTCGACTAACAAAAACAACATTCAATTTTAAAGCTCCAACGGTCAATTGCAAACCTAAATTTCAATTCCACAAAAATTAATCATCAAAACTTCATGTTATAAAATTAACATCAAATTTGAAAATAATGAAGTCAACATCACAAACCTTAACATCCAATTTCATAAAAAATTGAAAAAATGAAATTAATGCCCAATCAAAATCAAAATAAACTTAACAACATTAAATCAAACACCATTAACAACTACAAAACCCTAACTATGAAAATTCTCAAATAAAAATCCTACAATCCTATCAGTTAATTTCTTACAAAACTTATCAAACCATAATGAGAAAACACCCAAATTAACACCCGATATGAGAAAATTCATTGAAAAATTACAAAATACCCAAAAATATCAAATCAATACAAAACACCCAAAATATCAAACAAATGTGTTGTGTGTGTTACTGTATGTCTATGTGTGTGTTGTTGTTGCTACTACTGTGTGGGTGTGTGGGTGGGCAGGGGCGGAGCTAGACTTCAACTCAAGTGGGGACAACTTTCAATATATGAATGGTTAAACTCGGAGTGTTAATACTATTTTACAAAAGTATAGTTTCATCGAAATAGCATATACAAGTAATATACAAAAAGAGTTGACAAAAAAAGTTCAATATAAAATTGTACCAAACAAATACTTTTGTATCAAAAAAATAGTGTGCAATAATAAATTGATTCAATACATGAAAAAATCCAAATTCTTGAAAATCTTCATAATTGTTTCAACAAATTTTCACAAATAGTACTTGAAAATTCTTTCTCAACATATGCAGCCAAGTAATTATTCATTCATTGATCTCTTAACTTTTTACTATGTACCTTATTGAGAAGTATTTATCAAAAATAATGCATTATTCAATCACAATCAATCAAAATAGTTTAGGAAATCAAACAATTTTTAACATAAATACAAATCTAGTAAATCAAACTTGGACATATAAACAACCTAATTTCTTACAATCAGATTCCTCAAGCCTATCGAACCAAATGGTTTAATCAAAAAAATAGTCCTCAACATGTAAATTCTAAATATAACAATCTCACTAAATTTAACAACTTGTAATTCTTTATATTAATTTAACATACAAAAATAGCACAACAAATATAAGTATATATATGTGATCAGATAGACCAAATCTGGAATTGTAGGAGTGAAGTTCTTAGAATCATGTGATCTCTAAAAAGTAAAAGTATAAGTACTTTTTGTTGTTGCTAAAGACTAAAGAACCCTACATGTTTGAGAAAAATACATGGCTAGTCTAGAGTATAAAATATTTTCAATGGGGGCAACTTCTAACATTTTAATATTTCAAACATTTTACCTTACTCCCCAAACATTTTTAAAATTCCAATGGGGGCAACTTTTAACATATTCTTAAATTTCACCTAACTCCCCAAATACTTTTAAAATTTCAGTTGGGGCAACTGCCCCACTTTAAATCCGTGCGATATGTGTGTATGTGTGTGCTAGTGTGTGTTCGACTGTTTAAGAATCGTGAGATAGAGAGACGTAGAGGGTGTGCAATCTGTGTATGTGTTTGAATATGTGTGTGTGTGTGTGTGAGTCGTGAGAAAGAGAGGGGTACTTGCGTCATGGCAGAAAAGCGATCTAGGAGAGAGGGAGCCTAAGTTGGGTCTTCTTCCGCAGAGGAGCGAGAGGTTAGAGATTGAGAGAGAGAAAATGAGAGTTTTTGAATTGGATTGCTTGGGCTGAATGGGTGGGATTTTATTTTAGGTTAAGATGCATTGCAAGTCATTGGATTGAAATGTTTATTTTGGGTTGGGATGCATTGCAAGCCATTGGATTGAAATGGGAGAAGTGAGATGAAATGTGGGCCTTTGAATTAAAAGTGAATTTAATTTGAACCATCCTTGTACTTTCCAAAATAAATTAAAATTTAATTAAATTTTGAAGTGAAAATGAATTCAAATTTGGTTCTATCTTATTATTAGAAATAGAAACATGGTATAAATTTCTTATGCTTTTGAAAAAAGAAATGTTATTTGGACCTTATTTAGGGACTTAATGTTGTACAACCATTGTATTGGTTGTGGGTTTCATTTAATATTGAAACTTTCAACTAATCCAATAATTACATTAAAGCCACATCATTAAATCACTAAATAGGGTCCCCAAATAAGGTCTCTAGCATTACTCTTTTTAAAAA